CGAGTTTTTAAACTCACCAGTAGACGAGAACCTTCCGACAGACCCACCGTTTTAGGAGCAACACCATTGGCTATTAAAGCATGCAACTGAAGTCTTAATAGATTTAAACAAGCCACTGCTACACATTCCGCCTCTTGATTTGGTGTTTGACGATTATTGGAATCCTGGCCACAGACCATACCCAATAATTGATCCAATAAACGAAAGGTGTGTTCACTTAAATCTATAACGAAGGGAATACGGGATGGAATACCCTGTATAGAAGTCTGACTCCATATAATACTTTGGGCGGCACCACAAGCTATGCCAAAAGCATAAACCGAGGGATGTGTGGCCAATATAGGTTGTTTAACTAAAGGATCACGGCATATTGAAGCCGGACATATTTGCTGGTAGTCATTGCGTCCCCATCCGAAAACCTCACCACTTGAACTTAAAGCCAAACAATGAGAAACGCCTATGGCTACATCTATGATGATTTTTGTTTGTAAATTATTGATAAGTTTGGGAGTACTCAAACATTGGACTTGTTTGTCTAGCTGATTATGGCCCAAACGTCCTCCACTGGCCTTACCCCAAGAATAGAGTTTTCCCTCACACGTTAAGGCCACCGAAAATTGAGCTCCTGCAAAAACACGCTGTATTCGAGGTAAGGTTTCGATAAGTTGTGGCAATTGAGAGCCATTACAAGAACCGTTTCCTAGTTTGCCAAAATCACCATCACCCCAAGCATAAACCAAACCTGCGGCAGTAACAGCCAAAGTGTGGGCGTCCCCACTGCCCAAGGCTACATCCACTATTTTGTGTTCTGCTAAAGCTGATACTTGAGTGGGTAATAATTTGTCATCTGAATTGCCATGACCTAAACGTCCATAGGTGCCACGGCCCCAGGTAAACAAAGTACCATTGTAGGTAATGGCTGCACTATAGGTGCAACCCACATGAATCGATTTAACTGATCTCTCTAAACTCATGATTTTTGTAGGAAGTTCTCGAGGCAGAGTATCACCATGGCCCAAACGACCGCCTACACCATTACCCCAGGAATAAGCATTACCTAAACAAATTATAGAAAACAACAAGAAATTATATGTTTATTTATAAAACGGCTATGAAAGTTATTTACCCATACTATCCACCGCCAAATAATGACGGCCTTCGCAATGAGCTGCCACCGATATTATATGAATTTCCGCCAACTCTTCTATCAACATGGGTTCGGTTTCCGGTTTAGAAATGCGCCAGGTATACATTTTACCATCCTGGGTCAAAAACAACACATATTCCTCCGATATAACCACCTGTTGAACTTGAAAGTAAAAATTCAAAACAGGAGCTGAATATTGCGAACAGATATTGTTGACTCCTGGCAGGGGTATACCCACAGCCGGCTCTGCTGTAAAACCATATTGATTAGGATTCAGTGACAGCCAACCCAAGGCATAGATGCGCTGCTCATGCAACTGGGGAGTGCTGCTGGCTGACAAATTATTGTTATTATTAGAGGTGGTAACACTTTCTTGTGAATTTTGATTGGGCAGGGAAGTCGTTTTGCCACATGAACCCATTGAAGTCTTATTGTGGGCATTATTCATGGCAAAGTTTGTGGGCATTTGTATGGAATGTCCAGTTGGCATGTGTGGTTTGGCCAAACGATCCAAATGGGAGATTATAACTACAGCAGCTTGTTTCAAGTCTACATTTGCCGTTTCCTGCTCGGGTAAAGTAAGGAAACGTAAGAAACATTCTGTAGCACTGGAGGGTAAAATATCTGGTGCGGTGTTGGCGGTTAGACCATAATTGCCAATAGCTTCATAACGTTTTAGTATGGGCACCAGAGGAGCCCCAGCATTTTGCGGAACATCGCGGTTATCATCGGTAGCTTTATCTTTATCCCAAAGAGTTAAAAGTAGAACTACGGCCTCTAAAGAAGCAGCTAAACTACCCTTTTGAGCTCCCAGTTCGAGTAGTAGACAAAGAGCAGTATGACGATCTTCTTTGGGTGCGGTGCAGCGATTACCCATGGGATCACCCAAGGCAACTTGACGTAGAAATTTAATCGAACGTTCTAAAACTTCAATCCAAAGGGGTGAAACCTGTGAGAAATATTAAACAAAATGAAATTGATAGTTTATATATTTTTTTAGTTTTCTTTTTGTTTTCACCTGTGATGTATCGAAGAGCAAGGCTTCCGGAAGATCCTGCAAAGACTCCAAGGCTTCACACAACAATTCACTGCACATTTCGGTATCCTCACCCGAACGCCAGGCACGACGCAAAAAGAAAAATGAAAAATTTAAAGCTGCCCTAGTGCACACTCTAGCCAAACCCAAAGTGGCACGCTCACTTTCACGTCCTGGCGAACGTAATTCCTGCGAAGATGACTGTTGGGCAAATTTGGCAAAACGTTCTCGATTTGAGAGACGACTATCATCTTGAAATTTATGCATATTTTTATCCGAAGGATTTAAAAAAGGATTATTAGAGTTAGATGATTGTGGTGGCTGTAAAAGTGGTATATCCAAAGTTTGCTGTTGTTGCATTTGCGCCTGCTGTTGCTGTTGTTGCTGCTGATGCTGTTGTTTACATCTAGCCAGTGAGACAAAATAACGCTCATAGATAAACAATTGTTGACGCAAATGTATTGAAGATAGACAATTGCCAGCAGCTTGTAAAGAAATGTCGTGCAATTCATTTAGCAAGGTTTTCTGACACTCAACTTTAGCTGCATTATTGGGAGTTTGACCCCATAGCCACGATTCAAAGATGGCATCACTGGCAATACGTTGAGCTGCGGCCGCTGCAGCCTGAGCAGCCGTAGTCACCTTTTTTATAGTCGCATCCGAATCCAAAGTATGACAAGCACTGCAATTACAGGCCGACAAGGGGCCGCAATAATCATTGGGGCAGCAGGAACATTGTAGTTTTTGTACACCACAATAGTGTTTGCCATCGTCACCCAGATAACATAAATTACCAGCTGCATTTACCACCGCCCACGAGGGAGACGACACCAATTCACAATCCTGTATAAGATTATTCCATAAAATTGCGGCATCTTCAGGATTACGCAGACTAGCTATAAGATCGGCACGCACCCATTTGGTGTCCAAATAGGGTAAAGGTCTCAAATACAAGTCGCTGCTAGTTGAATTTGCTGTCATTTTCTTATAATTGCAGTAGTTTTTCCAAGGAAAATTTTTGTTTGTTTAACGTTTTAATTGATTCCCGCTTTAATTATTCCATTTTCTACGCAGTTTTTAATTCCAGCTCAATGAGATCAATTTTCGATTAAAAAACTGTATTAATAAAAAAATAATAATAAATAAATTTACATATAAGGCTTAAAATTTGCAAATAAATAAAAAATACGATTTGTTTATTTTCAATGCCTTTAACCTCACGTTGTTTTTTGTTATTGTATTTACTAAATGTCAAAACTGTTGTGTTTTACAACACAATTGTTATTGTTTATTTATAAACCTGCACAAAAATAAACACACTTTGCCCTCCACCAAATAAAAGTAAACACATGTGTGTGTGTGATTGATCAAAGCTTACTTTTTTGTTGCTATTATAAATGAAATTGTTTTTGTTTTATAAAGAAAAAAAAAATAATATAAAAATTAAATCAGTGAGTGGTTTGAGGTTACTATAGCAGCCAAATGGAGTTTAGATTTTTCTTTTTGTACCTGTGCATTAAAAACTAGCAATGCCAGATTATCGGAAACCTATTTTCCCATTGTCCTAAAATTTACAATTGTATTTTTTTTGTTAATTTAAAGTTTTTATCGCTAATTTTACAAATATAATAAACGTAATAAGATTTTATTTGGTAGTACCAAATTGGTACCTATAAAATCGAGTTAACTCTTTAAAATCCGAAAATACATCTATGTAGTTGAACATAATTATGTTAAAAAAGATCTATTTTTGACATAAATCATACACATATGTAAGTGTATTTTTTCAATTAAATAAATACTAAAAAAATAAAATGTTTAGAAGAATTTTGGAATCGCGGTTGCTGTTCATGAATTTGAAGGGGTCTGTCGTTGTTCTAGAAATAATTTATTTGCAAGCTTTTTCCCTAAAAGGGTTATATCGATATTTCCACCATACAATCTGGCTACTTCATGGATAACGTCACTTTTTTGTTGGTGTAATTGTATGTGTATACAATTTAGAATTTTTTCACAAATGACCGTGTAACAATTATCAATTATTTTACACACAATAAAACACAAAACCTAATTAAAATTCATCAATTTTATACAAAATGCACATGACTTATTAACATTTTATAAAAATTTCCACATAATTATAGATTTTTAAACTAATTTTCAGCAATTTTTCTTGTATCCTTTTTTTCACACACAACTCCACCTTAATTTTTTCGTTTCTTTCTTGTCTGCTGAGGAAAATTTTCATTTGCAATGTTTTTACCAATTTTTAAGCAATATTTTCACTGATTTTTAATAAATATAATAATTTCTATTGTATTTTCACTATTTTCTGGGGTATTTTTGATTCTTTTTGCAAATTTATTGACTATTTGAAGAAATAAATTATTAAGCGTCCGCACAATTGATGATTTTTCATGTATTAATGCAAAAAAAGACGACGAGAAAATAAAATGTATGAAGAAGAAAATTTTCATATACGAATTGTCATTTAGCTGTCAAATTTGTTTTTTCGATTTTTTGCCGAGAGTGTGGGTACGAAAGTGTCAACAAAAGGAATGCAGGAAAAAAGAGAGCGGGTTTTTTGTTTATATTTGTTGTGTTTACGTTTGAGCGTAGCAAAACAAATGCTAAAAACACCTGTTGGTAAACAAAAACAAAGGGTATTTGTTGTTGTTTTGAAAAAAAGAGAATTTGTAAATAAAGATAAAATTCTCCGGAAAATAATGACAGCAAAAATGCGTTTGCTACATGTGGTTGTTTATTATTGTTAAAGAAAGAAATTTATTATTTAGGATAAAGAAAAACACCTTTATATTTTTTATAAACACATCAACTTTATTAATTCTCCCACGACTTTAACATTAATGCTATTGCCCAATAAACGATATCTTTGACGATTTGTGGTTTTAACGGGAAAATCAAAAGTTTCTGGAAAACTCATCAAGCGTGCCACTTCTCGAGGAGTAAAATAACGTAGCTTTAAGCTAAATAACAAAGTTGAACGTTCCTTCTCCTCCTCAGCACCAAGATTTTTCATTTCTTCTATTTCCTTTAAGCGGGAAAACGTACTTTGCATTTCTTTCAAGCTTAAGTGGCAATAAATTGAGCCTGTTCCCTCACTATAATGAGTATAAGCTTTTGTGAAACACATGGTATTTGAGGCTGCATTTGTTACAATATCCATTAACCACACTCTACGTTTTAAGACTTTTTCATCCAAATAAAATTCTGCCGGAATTTTGTCTTCTTCAATTAATATGGTCGATAAATTAATATTTTCTTTTAATTGTTCGTTTTCTATAGGCATTTCCAGCCATAATTTATCAGCTGGAAAGGAAAAATCTTGTGATTTCCTAGCCAAACAATAATAACGATGTCTGGTATTGGGTACACCGATTTGTGTAGGACTCAATATAAATTCTCTATAATAGAAATTTGATTTCTTTAAGTCGTTTACATATATATTTCTTGCCTGAGACTCTTCAAATCCCTTAACATTTTCCATTAAAATATATTCCACTCCTTGACACAAAGGCAACAGTTCACAAATGTGATTTAAGGCATCCGAACGTTTATCTTCTATATCACGTTTCTGGCCAACACGTGTATGCGGTTGACAGGGAGGTGACATTAGTATGCAGTTAATATGCAATTTTTCCAAAAGTTTTACACTTAACTTTTGTATATTATTGTTCATTAAACAAGTTTCTTGGTGATTAAAAGCATACACTTCATTTGCCACGGTATTGATGTCCATTGCAGCCATTACTTGACCTTTTAGTTTAGAATCTATATTAGAGGAAAATTTTTTAATGAAATGTTTTAGTTTTTCTTTTTGAACTTACATTCAAATGCATAGTGCATGCCTCCAATGCCGCTAAATAATTCAAGAATTTTTAGTTCCATTATTAAGTATTTTCCAAAAGAAATATCTCATTCAGTTCGTAAAAATATTAGACGTTTTGAGAATTGTTTTTTTGCTTGTGTTTTGTTCATCAGTTTCGTTTAAATAATAAATGCTGCCAGATGGGAAAAGTAAGAGGTTTGACAGCTATAAATGCAACTCTGTGTTTCTGTTTGTTTATAAATTATTAAGGGCATTACGGGAACATATATAATTAATTCAATTATTCAATTCAAGCATTTGAATATTAATGAATTAAAAAATATGTTTTAGTTACAGTTCGACTGTGGGTGATGCTTTTTTACCGATGATACAGCTGTCGCGCAAAAGATATTAAGTAATTAATGTTTGAACTGAAGTTTATAATAAAAACAAATTGTATTGTTAAGAACCTAGAATAACATTATGATAAAGATCGAGCCACTGTTAATCCTTGAGTTTTATAAATCAGTTCTTGAACAAGTCGAAGTACTAATTTTCTTTAAGAGTGTCGTTAAGTCGATTACCTTGTAAGAATAATTCGGAAAGTATACTATGCCTTTTTGACTTTTTTCGAATAAGTATCTTAATTTTTAATATAAACAGGTTTTATACATTTATTCCAATTAGAATTAATAAGTACGTATGTATAACTAAAAATATTTATATTATGTAGTTTTGAAAGGATTTTTTGTAAAATTTCCAAATCAATCAAATACTCGAACATAGTTTTTTTTTGCCTTTTTTATGACTTTTATGCACTATGTGAATAGTTTTTCGAATAAATGTTATATTTCATATTGCATTATATTTTTTAAATAAACTTTTTATTCTGCCATCTAGTGGGAAGTAGCAAGCATTAAAATAATATAAACAAAAAATCGATTACCCACATTCACCAATTGTACAGCACTGCTGCGAATAACAACAACTACGACGTAGATAAATGTCAATTGAAGAATATCACCAGAGACCTGAGTCGATGCGATTTAGAACCGCCGTAACCGATTCAGATTTATACTACTTGAAAATTTTTTCTGTATTTTGTATAATTCGTTTTAAAGTTTTACCATTTTCTGAAAATTTTTCTAATTTAATATTATATATCTTTTTATTTAAGGAAGTCTTATTTTTTATTTCCAATAATAAATTTGTCCGACGCAGCTTTTGCTTATCGTTCAATTTATATACCACGCCACGGATATCTCTGAGAATATGTAATCAAAGCAGAAATGAACATTTGTCATTCTGTCGTAACAATCTGTATAAAGTTTGGTATGTTTATCATGGAAAACTACATGATATATGACGATCCGATGATAAACAAACATTATCACTGAAAATTAAAAACTAATACAGTTGAAAGCTTATCCGGCTTTATAGCTGATGTTATGCCGCCGCCGAAATTTTTAGTGTCAGCGTCGACATTAATGTTTGTTGACGCAGGTCTCCGAATACCACAGAGAAAAAAACGCAGTAAATTTATTAATTGAAAATTTTTCTTATTCGTGCGCCAAAAATATTAATTTCCCCCATTAAAACTAACAAACATAAACAAATAATGCAAAAGTTGTTTAAAATTAAAGAAAAATATATTGAAAAACTAATAATTGTTTAAAGAAAAAGAAAACGAGTTTCCCCAGGAAAAAATTATAGCCTCCCTCAGTAAAAGGCGTAACAAAACAAGCGAAAAAAACAAAAAATCTAAAGTCTAAAAAAACCTAAAAAACTTTGTTAAATTTAGAATTTCACCAAGAAAATCCGTATTTTTTTGGAGGAAATGTTTAATAATTTATTGCAAAAGTGGCGTTTGTAAGCGATAATTTAAGTTTTGAACGATATTTTCTTCAGAAAATGCAGGTGAGTGGGAATGGAAAAAATTGAAAAAAATTTTGTGGAGTCTCAATATCAAAAAAGAAATGGAAAAATTGTATGTGTTTGAATGTGTGTCTGCATGTTTGGCGTTTTTTCTCAAGGAGTCTTCTTGAATAAAAAATGCAATTGTTGACATAACCTCAATAAACATTAAAAAATATAAACAAAAATATTTGATGATAATAATAATTTTTCCTTTATTTTGTCACAGCAAGTGGACGATCCACCCTATCTCCAAGTGGGCACGGAGGTTAGTGCCAAATACAAGGGAGCCTTCTGTGAAGCCAAAGTTAGTGAGGTAGTACGCAATATAAAAGTTAAGGTTGCCTACAAACAAGGTCTCGGTTCGGGTGTTGTTTCGGATGACGACATTAAAGCCTCTCCCGGACAATTAAGAGTTGGTGCTGTAGTCGAAGTACGTCATCCAGATCGTAAGGATTATGTAGAGGCCACGGTCACTAAAATACAAGATTGCTCCCAGTATACGGTGGTTTTCGATGATGGCGACATCACCACTTTGCGTCGTACCGCTTTGTGCATTAAGAGTGGTCGCCATTTCAATGAGAGTGAGACTTTGGATCAGTTGCCCCTAACGCATCCCGAGCATTTTGGCAATCCGGTGGTGGGAGGTCGTCGCGGCAGGCGTCGGGGCCAAATGAACGACGACAGCTCGGATGAGGATGATGAAAGTGATGCCAAGGAAGTAATCAACGAGAAGGAAGAGCATATTGGTAAAGTTGTTTGTGTGGAAACGGAATCAAAGAAGAAGGATAAGGAGAAATGGTTTCCGGGTTTAGTGGTGGCTCCTACTGCCCAGGCTACAGTGCGTATACGTGTTAAAGATGAATATTTGGTGCGTTCCTTTAAAGATGGTCGCTATTATACAGTGCCTAAAAAGGAGGCCACCGAGTTTACCCGTGAGGCGGCAGCTAAACAAGATGGTCCAGCCGTCCAAGCTGCTCTGGAGTATTTGGATAGTGATGTCTTACCTAACCATTGGGATCGTGATGTTTTGTTTGGTCTCAGCAACTCTTCAAGTGAAAATGAAGATGAAATTGATTCTGACTCCTCAGATGATGAGCCGCGTGAGGAAAAAGATCGTTTTGTGGCCCAACTCTACAAATACATGGATGATCGAGGCACCCCACTCAACAAAGTGCCATCCATACAAAATAAAGATGTAGATCTCTATCGTTTATTTCGTGCCGTTCAAAAGCGTGGAGGTTATAATCGTGTAACTTCACAAAATCAATGGAAATCTATTGCTGTGCGTCTGGGCTTTGCCCCGGTTACCGTTAGCATTACGAATTTGGTGAAACAAGCCTTTAAGAAATTTCTACAGCCCTATGGGGAGTTTCACCGTAAGTTGGGCTGTTCAATGTTAATGTCACCCCGCAATTCCAATCGCAGTAAAGGGCGCAGTTTAGTTCGTGCCAATTCAGTGGCTTCACCCAAACCACAAGATGTCAATAAAGAAGTCTCTACGCCCATTTCAAAACTAGCCACCACTTCTAACAGCAGTTCTTCATTAGCTCTAGCTTCTGCACCCTCATCCTCTACTGCAGCCAATGCCTCCATTACCGAAGAATCAGAAAATACTAGTGAATCTAGTAGTCAAGAAACTGTGCAAAAAAATAAACGCAAATCTTCATTAGGCGGTGCCTCCACCACTTCAACTACAAAAGTCAAAAGTTTAGTAGAAAAATATGAAGAGAAAACCGTAAAAGATAAAGATGAAGGAGATGTGCCTTTGTCCAAAATAAAAGCTGCTGCAGCTAGCAAGGAACGTGAAAAAGAGGATGCTAAGGAAAAAGAACGTGAAAAAGAGCGTGAGAGGGAGAAGGAGAAAGAACGCGAGAAAGAAAGAGAACGCGAAAAGGAGAAGGAAAAAGAGAAAGAACGTGAAAGGGAAAAGGAAAAAGAAAAGGAGAAGGAAAAGGAAAAAGAACGTGAGCGCGAGAAGGAGAAAGAAAAGGAACGTGAGAGAGAACAACGCGATCGTGAGAGGGAAAGAGATAAAGAAAAGGAGAAAGAGAAGGATAAAGAAAGTGGCGGCTCTAAGGATTCATCGGGACAAGTAACACGAGATTCATCACCATCTGGTAAGTTGGAAAATTCAAAATTTTATTTCACAATGTATATGTAGTTTCTGAGTATAGGAGACCATTCTGATTCCATTAGTAGAATGTAATGATCCAAAGGTAGAGAAACAAAAGACTAGAAAAACAAAACAGTAAAAAAATAAAAGAGGATTCTTCTTCGATTCCTAAGGTTTTAAACTTTTGTTCGAACATTTTATAAAGTTGCTAAAAGAAGATATTTTTTAAAGAAAGTTTTTTAAACAAATGTTTAAAATATTTTTATATTTTTCTAAAAAAAAAAACAAGTTTCATGTTTTTTTAACAAAAATATTTTTTTATTAACTAAAAATTATTTTTAATTCATTTTATTTTGAAATTCAAAACTCTAAAAATTATTTAATTTCATCTTTGGTTCTTAACTTAATAAACTGCCAGTTAATTTTTACAAGTCTTTTTAAAAAAATAACATTCCAAAAATTTTAATAATTTTAAATCTATATGCAAAAAATATGCTTCCTCTTTACACTCTTTTTCGATTCCTAATCGACAATAATTTTAACACGATGATAGGCATTCGATAGAACACCACGTAAATTCCAAATATTTTCAAATTGTTCTGGTTGTACATTGTAGGCTGAATCTACAGCCTTTGCCCAGATTTCTACTTCCTTTCCCTTTTGCTTGGGATCCACAGGAATGCGTATTGTCCACAAAGACCAGCCATAGTGGCGACCATCAGGTTCATCTTCTTGTTCCAAAGTGGCTACATGCCAACTTTTACCTTGATCAGCGGTTAAGTCTACACGTACAATACGACGACCACCACCAGACCAAGCATAACCACGTACTTCTACAAAACCATCCTCGGAAACCTTAACTTTATCACCATGAGCGGGAGTACAAATAGCTGATGTTACTGGCATGGCTTGTATGGCAGGAGATTTTGTAAAGTCCACGGTATCCCAATCGGTACTAGGACTGAAACCTTTATAATCATTCTGTTGCCAATGCGAGCTGGATTCATTTTCCGATACCTCTATACGTGTCAGCCATTTAACATTACGGGCTCCTACAGTGCCTGGTACAATAGCACGTATGGGAAAACCATGATCACGATTCAAAGGTTTACCATTCATTTCATAGGCCAATATAACATCA